ATTTCCTGTTGTTTTTATGATACAATTACCTGAACTCACCCCAGAGTCCATGGTAAAGTTAGAAAGCAGAAGGTAAATTTGCAAGTGTTCTTGTCTCATAGTAAACATCACACTGAACTTGCTCACCTAAGCTGTGACAGGAGTTTAATGTTCCTACACAAAGAAAAAGTTAACTAGTATTTACCAGGATTTTCCACTTTCTGGGAAACATGGAGAAGGTCATACAGCTTACAATACCACTGCTGGTTAAAGGCCTCTCACAGAACACCAGCACAAAGTATGGAGTAACAATTAAGTTATCTTATTCACAGCTAATCACGTGCTAAGAATGGCATGGAGCTGTGTCAGGGAGGGTTAGGTTGGGTATCAGTAAAAGATTCTTCCCCCAGAGGTGTTTGGGCACTGGAACAGCTCCCCCGGGCAGTGGGCACAGCCTCAAGCCTGACAGAGCTCAAGGAGTGTTTGGACAATGCTCTCAGGCACAGGGTGGGATTGCTGGGGTGTCCTGTGCAGGGCCAGGAGTTGCACTGATGATCCTTGTGGGTCCCTTCCAGCTCAGGATATTCCATGATTCTAATCAGAGCAGACTGGGGAACACCACCTACAACTAAGGTAAGGAACCAGCCATACAAACAGCATGAAGTTAAGTCACACGATTTATCTTGGCCCTCTCCCTAGGCTAAAACAGGCACAAGATGACAGTAGACGATCTTACTATAAAATGTTAGATTCAAAAAAATCAGGGTAAGGTTTTAAAGAATAACAGGGGTTTTTTTCTGCTTAACACAGCTCCTTGAGTTTCAGAAGGACAGAACAGCCCCAAATCACACAGCAGTTGAACAGCCCTGCACAGGGAAGACCAGCCCACATACAGGCAAAAGATTGTCTGGGCTGCCCCTTACACAGGGCTTGGCAAGCCACACTGATCTGAGCACCATCTTCAAACAAAGAATCAAGGAATTCTTTGATTTGAAAGGGACCTCAACGCTCATCCAGTCCCACACCCTGCCATGGGCAGGGACACCTTCCACTAGCCCAGGTTGCTCTAAGCCATATCCAACCTGGCCTGGAACACTTC